AGTAGGCCGATGCACAATTCAGTGTTTTCTTCCTACCAGACACGGTTCATATGGAATCGCCCAGGGATATAAAGGGGTGGGGGTGGATTTGGTTGGCCCGGACGGTACTTGAGTCCAGATTTGTGGGTATGTGGTCCGGAAATATCGTTGGTAGGAAGTTGGGAAATATAGGAACATGAGAGCTATGATGGTAAAGCAAGTGGGGTAAATCTCGCCCTAACCGCCACTTACAGTAATTGCTATCTGAAGAAGCTCCACCTTCCCTTTGGTTCATAGTCGAGTAAACGTGGTTGGCTATGTGAACTCCCTCGGGATCACTCCGTCTGAAGGGTCATTCGGAACAGACTTATCAAGGGTACAAATCGTTGTTTTTCTAGTAAATAATGGTGATTCGGGGCGGATCCCTTTCACATTATTCGGCTTGAATGGCCAATTGAAAATGTCAATAATGCCCAAAAGGTTGTTTGTCTATGAAAAACGAGAGTTCAAAAATCAAAGACCACAAGCACTCACCAACGTCATATTTAGGTGGAGGTGGTAGTTGTCGCATAATTCGACCAAGATTTCGCCTTCGCAACGGTTCTATTGTTGGTTCTGAAATCCGGGAGTTGAGGAAATATCGATATATTCCAGGAATTATTACGGACCTTTCAACTTGCTCCTGACTAGAATCAAGGCGCTGTTCGGCTTGGAAGGGGCATTTTGCACTTTGCTAGTTCTTTTTCCTATTTCGTTTTGATTAACCGGTCCTTATTTTGGTGAAACCAGTAAACTCTTGTGAAGCTGCGGAATTGTGTAGTGAGCACATACAAGTTTGGTGACAGGAGTTTACATGTTTTCACGAGGTTTGCGGCCCGTAGGCTTTCTAATTACCATTTGTTGCCCCCACCAAGCCGAATGCTCCTGTCACCAAACTTGTATGTTGCTCACTATACAATTTCGCAGCTTCACAAGAGTTTACTGGTTTCACCAAAATGGGACCTGTTAGTCAAAACCAATTAAGAAAAAGAACTACCAAAAGTGCAAAATCATAACCAGCTTTCCAAAGACCTAATACACTAGTTCACTTTTCCTAGAATTCTGGCTAGGAGTCAAGGTGAACAAGTATGTTTACACCCGGCAAGGGAATAATTTTGTTGTCGGCAGAAGAAAGAAGTAGGAGATGTTGACCACAGCGGACCGCCCGCCATGAACTACCGCTTTTGATTTAATTTTCTCCCAAAAAGCTGAAAAGTTCGCTTAGAAAACTCACGTCGGTCATAATTCTTGATGATCATACAAACGACACAGCAGCAGAGGAACAGCACAAAAAGTACAGGGCATGAAATCACCACGATCACTTCCCACAACTGGGTCGGCCTTGTTTCGACAGTTCCTAGAAGCATACGTTATGCGTCATAATTAGGAGATAGACCGCGAAATAAGATGATAGAAATGTGGAATATTTCCAATTCTTAGAAGATCGGAATTGATTGAAACTGGAAAAAATCGGCTATTTCAGCCGTTTCGAGGGGAGCGATGCGAAAACAGCCTATTTCGGCCATTTTCGGGATGAGGCAGGTTCAAGACGCGCGCTCGAAAAAATCTTACTTGCATTTATGATCTATATGTTAGGCTATAAATGCAGACCTCGCTTCCGAAATCGGCGAGTTGTATTGGCACCAATACTCATGGAAGATGGTCATAATAAAACAAAAAGTGCTAGAGAAGAAAAAGCACCCCTTTCCGGCCAATGCCCTGGTGTGGTGTGTTCCGGGCACGTTATACAACGCCATGTGCAATCAACACTTTTCAAAAGGGACCGGTCGAGAGATGGCGACAGCTCTCACTTATTGCGTCAGACTTCCCCGTATATCGCGCTCATTATCCCAGATGAAATAGGAGAGATAGAAGCTGCAGCAACTAGTCCATCGAGAGAGCTACAGAAGTGAAAGTTGCAGGCTGTTGCCGTGGCCAGTGGGCGGGCGGCTTGGAACAGGTGGAACAGCTAACACCTAAAGTCGTTGGTCAAAATGGGCGGCAATCTCATGCCTTGATGCTACCACGCTCCTTCTTTAGACTGCCTTCGGTTGAGGTAGCAAGTAGGGCAGCATCGAGGCATGAGATCTCCGCCCATTTTGACCAACTATCTGGGGCGCTAAAGCTGCTCCAGTGTTCTGAGTGGTAGCTTCGTCGTGCTCGGATCGCGCCTTCTTCCCGTATTTTTGAGCTGGTAACCACCTCCGTGCATCCAAAAAGGACCATCTTCTTCAAAGGTGTTCAAATATTGAATGAACGCGGAGTGTGCCTTTAGAGAAAGAAGAAAAAGAATCCAAAGTGGTGCGAGGGTTCCTCACTACATTCAGTTCTTTGAACACAATCTTAATGTCCATAGTAGTGCTGCGAGACCGATGAAAAAGAAATTTGAAGTTATTTAATAATCATTAAAAAGGAAAATTTGAAAAAGCACCGTAAAGAAAAGGAAAGGTTGTAAAAAATATGAAAAATGTAAATCAAAAATTTACCTGAAGGAAAGACGACAGTGGCATTGATGGCGTCGGATATACCATCCGGCAGTAATGATTCACTCATAACGCTCTGAAAACCAAGGCTATCGTTGTGGACCATGACTCACGAATAATACACGGAAATAACGAATTTATATTGAAAATTTGAAAGGTTATGACGATCAGAACAAGGAGTGAATGCAAACAGCACGTGCCTGTTATCCTTGTATGTGTACATTGGGAGCAGATGGTTTCTTTACTTAAACTTTAAACTGCGATATGAAAATAAACTAGTACTCCCACGACCTGATCAAAACAGTCCACCCACTAGCGGCATAGACTAAAACAGAGAAACACCCCCTCCAAGAGACAGCAAATTCGACAACGGACTGGGGACTCCGAATAGAAGAGGGGAATCTCTGTTTCACGTAATCCGAACCTAGATCAAAAAATTTAATCGTAATTACTACAATAGCCACTGAACTGTGAAGGTTAGAGCGGCTTTGGCCCTGGGTAATGGGACTCGCCCGGGTTCGAGTTCCGGGTCCTCATTTTGGTCATAACTCGAGTCGCGTACTGTTAAACAACTTCACTTTGAGTGCAAACTGCTCTGACTCATGACGTCAACGTTACCCGCTACTTTGCTTTCAACGCACAACATCTTTGACAATCTTCGGCATGAATACATCAAGGAACAATCAGGGAAGTGGGCTAGCCCTGTACGCATATCTATTTTCTTCAGAACTTCCTGCCCTGACAACGGGTCTCACCGCCAACTCTATTATTGAAATAGCGTGCGTTTGCAGCGGTCTTATTTTGAGATGACCACTGTATTCATGTGCCCTATCTGATAAAAATGTATGCAAACTCACCGAGTTTTTTTTTCGGCCCGCGACTTATGTTCTTGTCCGTCAGAAGTGAGGTGGGCGTCCAGAATCGTAAACTCGGCCCACACTGCAAACCGGGACCGTACATCACACATGTTCTCGCCAACATAGGGGTCGCGCCCTCTGGCCTTACGCGATAAGCGAAAACGAGCGGCGTCATGTGCCAGCGTGTCAGTCAAAGGAACAGTCGCGGCAACATTTTTGGAGATTAGTGTTCTCGCGTTGCTCTTCCGCAAAAGCGGGTCTCCACCGCAGTTCACTCGCCAAGAAGATTCTACCTGAAAAACCTGAGCACGGTCTAGGGAGGGTAAGGGCTAGGGGGGGGGGACGCCAGCACCTCATTCTGTGAAAAATCGTTCGAACGGGCAATTTTCCGTGACGTCACTCCTGACCCTGCTGCCAAAGATAACTTTAACGGCGCGGTCGCGTGCAGCTCTCTTGCTGTGCGATAACTTTGTGGGTACTTGTGGATGTAACTACCAACACCAACAGTTATAAAACTCGTAGTGTCATCATTACTATTAATTACGATTTATTATCGTTGGCACTTTCTTCCCCCTAGCGTTAATCCTGCACCGTCGCAGGGTCCGCTGTTCGTCGCCACCTGCTCCGATCCGCTGCACCTTCTGCCGTGGCACACTTCAGTGAGGTCCTTCTCGACGTCTCTCCACCTTTCTCAACTGCTCCTCATGGCGCTTGCCCTAATTCGAAGTCCAGCGCTTTCCTTATCGGGTGGTCCTCAGGCCTTCTCAGTACGTGCCCATACCATCGCAGTCGCTGCTCTCGTGCCTTCAGCTGGATCGGAGCCGTCTGTGTGATCGCCCTGACGTCCTCGTTTCTGACTCTGTCGAATCGTGTCCAGCCGCAGGCCCATCTTACCATCTTAGGCAGCGTTCAGACTTCGCGACGGCAGCGCTTCGGTCGCGCGTTCGACGCGATCGATGCAGTTGAAAGCATCGATCGTCGGATCGCGCGACCGAAGCGCTGCCGTCGCGAAGTCTGAACGCTGCCTTAACCATCTGGTTAGCATTTCTGCTTTAGCTAAGTAGAACTGCCCTGATGGTTCTTGCTATGGGCAGGCACTCTCTGCCGTTGAGCATCGTGGGCCTTACCACAGCCCGCTACACCTTACTCGTCAGCGTTCTCCAGCACCGCCGGTCGCACAGGATGCCTAAGGACTCCCACCACTTCACTCGCTGCACTGATTTGTTATGACGCGGTACAG